ATATATATATAAACAAATCTGATGATCGCCGATATCAATGGTACAAACAAGAATGAGGGAAATAGGAAGATATAGGCTACTCACATCGATGTTGAGTTCTTTCAGAGGTGTTATGATCGGCATTTCTATAGAATCTTCTACGTCCAGCGCATTACTGGTACCCGCTTTCCTATTTGCTTCTCTGTCTTCGTTCGCTGCGCCACCTAAAGGACGATCTTGATAGTGGATAAGATACATACTGCTGCCGCTGGGACTTACTAGAAGAGCCAGCGACTCCTAGCAAGAAGGGCAGGTTAGCATCAACAAACTCGCCCTCTTCAAGATCCCCAACGTCGTTATTTCGCTCCAGAGCCTCAAATATAACGATGGTGGTTCTGCACTAGACTCGTATGAAACACTACCTGCTGGAGTCCAGCAGCATTTCTGTTGATGAGCCATTCAGTTGCACCTTCTGTAGAGCCGGTTTCCTCCAATGCTTGAACAACCAATTCGTGCGGAAAGCCCATGTCAACCTAGAGCATCAATTAAATTACGTACTTCCTGATAGAGGTGACTACCGTACCAATAGAGAAACGCTTCCTTCAGGCAGAAGCTGACGCAAAGCAGCATCCCGCTGAGTCTCTTCTCCATCAGCAGCCGGTGTTCTCGAATCGCCACTTTCATCATTCTGTGATCGCGGATTCTCTTCTGTCGCTGGAGTAAGACTGTGCGCAACCTGAGCCGAAAACGGAAACGTTGGAATACTATAACACCGAAAAATAGAAATTTTGGAAAGAAAGAACTTACATCTTTATACACGGATATAGCAGTTTCACATAATGTTTGGCAGCATTTCAAATCGACTTTCTCATCAGAAAGTTTCGAGAAAAGTACACAAAAAGCTCGGAAGAAATCCTGCAACTGATCCAAATTAGATCAAAGTCAACATTTTCGCAACGTCGATAAGAAAAAGAAGAATAAAACATTCACATTGTGCACCAATTTGAGGTACTTCTTCGGATCGAACTCCACTGTGAGAGGTTGCGGCTGACGGTAAAGGGTATGTAGCATATTTTGCTTATTTGCCAATCGACTCGCAAGACGGAACCACTCCAGAAAAGCTAATTCCAACCAGTCTAAAACAGTCAATAAAATCATTGTCGCATAAAAGCAAGTGGCAATACCATTGTAGTCGTTATTGAGGGCTGGTGCAAGTTTCTCGATCATCAAATCACAGAAAGCATTGTGACATCCGGAAGTGTAGAAGCGCTGCAACATGGCATGAAACGGTTGGCGGCGATCGTCGAAAAGTGCCACGGACATTTGAGCTATCACTTCTTGAAGTCGGCCGAATCTGCAAAAGGACCCCTTGTTCAAACGCTCTCTTTTCCAAAAATTTTAAAAACTAACTCCATAGGAGGTATAGGTGCACCATCAGGTAGTTTGTAACAAGTCCATTTTAGGTCACGGAAGAAACCGGCAAAAACTTCATCTGCCATTTGTTGAGCTGCTTTCGGCATTGTCGATGCTGAGAAATCGTAACGGCGATTCCTCCTGGTTGGCGCAAAGCACGATCTCGAGAGCTGGCTGAGGAATTCCGAAACTGTCCTGACAAGCAACAACATTGTTATTGAGATACATAGGTGACGATGACGCGACAGCTCTCACTTGTTTGCTTTGATCACCATTTCAGCAACGTTCTTGTGCCTATGCCAAAATGCGTTTTCGGTTTGCGTTATTCCAGCTAAAGCCCATGCAGGTTGTCGAGCAGCAGTGGACGGTGGGTCAACAGCAACCGACATCACGTTGTTAGGCTCTGTGGAAGAGGTGGACCTGCAAACGAATTTTCTTTGCATAGGAATATAATGTGAGTTGTCTGAAAACGCTTACGTCAATGGCGAACTAGCTCCAACACAGAGCGCTTCGATTTCACTAGGATCCGTCTGGGTTGTGGCAACAGCTTTTGTTGGTTCAATCATTTTCAACAAAGCCGTTTCCCAAGACAATACTCGTGCTACCTAAAAAGAAAGTGTCGGAACTTGCAGAAAGCAGCAATTTTTTCATATCTGGTAACGGAATTCCATGTCGGCTATTTCGTTATCTTAATAATGAGAGAGTCACACTGACCTTGCGGAATCCTATATGCAGCCTCTTACCAGTATCAGTCAACCAAGCATCCCAGACTCGATTGCGTAGCTCACCCTGAGAAGTACGGTCAATACAATATCCAAATGCAAACGTACGTCTTTCTGATATCTAATAGACTGAATCATTCGCATACCTGTGTTTGTGGCACGGACACAGCGGTATTCTTGGTCAGCATGCTGAGAATCGGTACAGCATTACTCATGCTAGTGATAGCTGCTACTATGCCTTCATCACCCAGTGGTACAAGCATAGAAGCACCACCATTTGAATCAGTGTGATCGCGAGAGGAACGCGCAGCGAGAGGACCGATGGATTGCAAGAATACCTCCATGATTGCAAGCATGAGTTTGTCTCCAGATTTCACGTGTTGCTGAAAGTAAAGAGTATGAAATAGATA